GGGGGGGGGACACAATTTTTTTTAGTAATGTTTTAATATAGTTTTAATTTACTGTAGCGTACTTGTATGGTGAACGAACGGACAGGACATCAGCTTAGTTACTTTCTCTTTATTTTCTCTTTACTTTAATACATTTTTGTCTATTTTTGTCTAAAAAAATTTTATCCAATCAAATTTTATGCCCATGCCATTACCTGTTCGTAAACCGTAGATATTTACTCATTGCGTAGTTATTTGGATTCTAGTTAAACATATAATTAACTTTGATGAAATATCGCGGATATTAATAATTCATTGATAACATTAACATGAAGTCAAACAGATGTCGGCTTGTTTATTTTTAAAGAGAATATGGAGAGAAAAAAACAAAGAACAAAGGCTTAAATATTTTTTATTTTTTTTTTTTTTTGCAAAGGAAAAATGTATTTATTGTAACAGATCCGTGAAAAAAATATGTTTGCATTCTGTGCATTGCTCTGTCGTCCACGAGCATATGAATATGTGATACGCTAAAAAAAATTACATAAAAATCGCAAAGAATATAAACAATTATGTCCGAGGGAATATTTAATTGCTTTACAACCCATTTTTCTGTGTGCAGATATTAACTTAAGTCATTTTGAAACTGTTTGAAATCATTAACTCTAATCCCTCTTAATGCCAGGAAGTTCTTTATCAAACCTCACTGACTTGACTGGTGCATCTTTGGCGTTCATTTCGAGCGTATTTCTGGCCATGAGAAACGTATGTTTTAAAACACTGGAGTCCAAGTCTGCAGAGTTTACGCTAAGATCCTTCAAGCACTTGAGAGCTGGCTCTGTAGCTATGGCAACTCTTGCCATCCTGTTGTTCGCCTTGCTGACGTTCAGAGTAGTTCCCCATGAGGTCGCTGCCGGTTTTATTCTGTTATCAACATCTTCCGTCTTTCACGTTATCTACACGTATTTTTCCACAAATATTGTATTGAAGGTAAATCTTGAGTTTTGAATAAGGTTTAGTTAATGAGCAACTGCCACATATAAAACGATAATAATTATTATCATTATCATTTCCATTGTTATTATTATCATCCTTATTATTGTACATCCTAAGATATGACTTAACCTTGTCGTATATTGATAAAGGTAATATCATACGTTAAGACGCACTCTGGGCCAGTTTTAAGCCAATTTTTTTTTTTTTTTTGGGGGGGGGGATCAAAGGGCCGCAAAGCTATTAGGAGTTTCACTGTCTGTGAAAAGCTCTCGGCGATATACGAGTCTCTTAAGTCTTGGTCCGGCGCGCAAGGAACCGACCCACGTTGTATGTAGATACTGCCCTCTTAACCCTTTGAGCTCGCTTTAATCTGAATTTACCCCTGCCAGGTGCTGGACATCGTGAACCATTCGCTCGCCAACATAACCAAACGCCTGCTGGTCGTGGTTCTCCTCTACTGTACCGGGCGACGTCACGCTGACGTCATCAATATGTGCGGACTGCTCCTGTGTTCGTTTGGATTGTGGGTGTCGTTCAGAGACAAACTCAAGTCACTGCCAGGAGAAGGTAAATCTAATACTTAGGGCTGAGCCGGGTGCTTTTTGACTTTCTTTTTTTTTTTTTTTTTTTTTTTTTTTTC